CAGGAGACCCCCAAGAGACCCTCAGGTGGAAACTGAGCTGAGTCTGGGCCAGGGTATCTATTTCTTAGTATTTTCTCCGAATCAGGGCTTGGGGGAAGAAAAACCCTGGCACTCAAAAAATTTTATTGTTGCCTCTTGTTTCTCTTTGGTTTGAAGGTGTTTGGCTACTGTTTTGCAGCCATCATGGGAAGGTTCTGTTTTAGCCCATTTTTCGTTGTCCTATAAGCTGATGGATGATACGTATTTGTGTGGGTTATTTGGGGGGGTCTGGGACACAGGAAGTAGGGGATGGTGTTTAGGGGCAGGGAGCAAATATCTGGGCTGCAGGGCCTCACCAGGCCGTCTCTGTGGAATTGGGCTCTTGGCCATGTGGACGTCAGCCGGCCCACCCTGTGTGGCAACCCAGGCGTGCCTGTCTCATGTATATTTCTGGAACCCCCAGTGAGCCACGGGTCCAGGCCTTCCTGTGGCAGTTGGTACCAGTGCTTGATTCTGATCCAGGCGGGAAGGTGCTGGTCTCCTGTGCCCACGGCTTCATATTCCCCAGCAGTGGCCCCGCTGTGGGAATTCCCGACACAGGTGGCGAGGCCGGCTCCCGCGGTCTGTTCTGACAGACGTCAGTGTCGTTTCCTGGTCTGTATGTAGGACTCCGCTGGCATGCGTCCCCTGGGAGCTGTGCTGTTCGCTGCAGCTTCTAACGCGGCTCTGACGTCCTCACGCCCGCCCAGCCGGGCGCTGACGTAAAAACACCCGCGTCCGGCCCGACGCCCTCTCGTCCTCTCGTCCCCTTGGCCCCCGTTCATTTTGGGGCTATGAATAAAGCTGTTTCGTGGCTTTGGTGTCACCATCACCTTCCGTGCAGGTCAGTGTAGAGACCATGTCGCAGTCTCACAGTCCATTGTGCCTGGAGCTTGACTCGGGGGTGTCCTCTTAGAAGTTAGCTTAAAACACCAAGAACCGAACCCAAACCCCGCGAAACCCTCGCCAGCCTCTCCTAGATGAGAAGCCTAGGGAGTCCTCAGGCCCGTGACCCCAGGGTCCCCCTTCTGAGTCCTTGCTGCTGCGCCCCTCCAGGGGCTGACCCCAGCCCACCCGCCTCGTTAGAAAGCTCTTGAGCGCCCCCGCCTTCCTGCAAGAAGCGTTAAAGAGACTCAGACCTGACGAGGCTCCTCGTTCAGTGAGGAGAGGACATGGCCATGGGGCCGAAGGGCAGGCAGCTGCCAGGCATTGCAGGGGCGTCGAGGTCGCTTCCGCACACCGCCCTGCGTGCGGGCTCAGGGCTCCTGCCTGTGGCCTCGTGACCTCCCAGGTGGAGATGCTGGAGCCACCACAGCCTGTCCTCGTGCACAGCCGGTGGTCGCTGCCCTGCCGTG